CTCTGACCGGAGTGAGGAGGAGGATGTTTCTGACACCCCTGACTACGCCTCCTGTGATGAGGCGGGGTCCGAGGCGGAGGGACCTTTTGAATTTGGAGCCCAAGAGGGTATGACCTCCGTGGCACTTGGGTTGGACGTTGCTCCGGGGGAGCACACAAGGACAACCCCTGTTCGACCCGGAGGACTTGCACAACCCATGTTCTGCGGAGTGAGAGCCACTGTCTAAGGAGGGACGCCAAAAACTTAGGGAGGAATGTCCCCGCCCTATCGTGCCCGATGAGGCCTGTAGGATCCCAGAAGTAGACCCTAAGATCTTCCAATTTTTAGGAAAAACGGGCTGGAAACCCAAGAAGGGTTCAGTGCCTGATTTGCCTGTTGGGTAATGCCAACACGGCTATGGCAACTGAATGCTGCAAAGCCATATTGTTAAAAATTGACCCTAAACTGGTCAATATGGCGGTTACTGAGCCTGGCCCGGCTGCAAAGGGCATGTTATTTGGAGATTCATTTGTCAGGGATCTGGGCATGTATGTAAAAACCTTCACAGCGATTGACAAGGCGCAAGCCAATTTATAGAGGGTGTTCGCGCCCAAGGTTTTTGGAGGGGCCGGGAGATCCAGAAGCCGTTCACCCGGCCGAGGCTATTGGGGACAATTCCACTTTCCAAGATACTCTCCGGAGTACAGACCATCCCCGTTCTTCCCCTCAACAGGAAGGCCATGGCAACCACGGGTCTCGAGAGGAGCTGCATCGGGACGACGGCCCTATGGTAAGTGTACTATTTACACCTTCCCCCCCAGGTACAGGCCAGCTCACCATCCCTACTCATTATCCAGTTAGATTGGACACTACGCCTCCTACAAAACTTGGGCTTCCTCATACAACTGGGAAAAGTCCATCTTGGACCCAACACAAGATATGGAATTTTGGGGCTTTTAGGTCAATTCAATTCAACAGACCCTTTGCCTTCCGGAAGACAAGGTCAAGGCCATAAAAAAGGAGATCAGGCGACGCTTACGGGCCCCAGACTTATCAGTATGACAACTAGCACGGGTCTGCTCGTCTCATCCATATAGGCGATTTTTCCAGGGCCACTACACTACCGAGCACTACAGAGACTCAAAGGCTCCTATCTCCACACATGCCACACATACGAAACGCGACTCACTCTTGACGTGGAGTCCAGGGAGGAACTAGTTGGGTGGCTCGCCCACATGGATGTTTGGAACGGCAGGGCAATATTCGGAACGGCACCAGACTTGATAATAGAGTCGGACGCCAGCTCACATGGCTGGGGTGCACGCTGTGGAGATATTACCACTGGCGGCAGATGGTCGGAGGAGGAAGCCTGGCTTGGAACTCCTGGCGGGCTCATTCGCCATCCGCAGCCTTACACCCACCAACATCACCTGTTGTGTCCTACTCAAAATGGACAATGTGTCAGCGGTGAGATACATAAACCACTTGGGGGGCACGAAATCAAAGATGTTGGCTCTCCTCGCCAAAGAGTTTTGGCACTTTTGTCTCCACAAGAACATATCTGTGATTGCAGAACATATCCCGGGACTGGACATCTCCACGGCAGATTGGAACTCCAGATACCTCAGGGACTCGGGAGATTGGAAGCTACTTTTCTTCAACTGCAAGTACTGTGGACATCGACCTATTTGTCTCTCGTTTGAACACACAACTTCCGAGGTTTTACAGCTGGAGACCAGACCCGGCAGCTCTGGCGGCTAATGCATTCATAATGGTGTGGCCACAGACAAGGCACTATGCATTCCCACCATTCAAGCTCATACCTCGTACTCTCATCCATCTCAGGCAGTACAGATGTTCCATGGCATTAATCACCCCGTTATGGAGTAAACACAGGCGTGGTTCCCCAGACTGCTGGTGATGTCAATGGATTTCCCACGATTGCTCCCGAACCTGCTAGAGTTGCTGACCGATCAGGATGGGAACTTACAAGACCTAGTGGACAGAGGGTTGTTACACCTCATAGCTTGGCTCCTTTCTGGGGACCCTGGACCGTCTCTGAAGTTCCACAGTTCACTCTCAGACTTTTGGCAGAGGCGTGGGCACCAGGCACTTGAAACGCTTACCACTCAGGATGGAGATTATGGTCTAGCTGGTGCCTGGCAAGGGAAGTGGATCCCATATCTGCCCCTCTAAATAAGATATTGCATTTCCTCACATCAATGTTTGAAGCAGGCAAGGCGTATCGTACGATCAATGTACACAGATCGGCTATATCAGCAGGCCACCAAGGGTTTACTGGAAATACAGCAGGAAACCACCCCTTGATTTGTCGACTCATGAAAGGGACTAGATTGTTGAGATCTCCAATGGCCAGGTATTCTGCCTTCTGGGACGTCAACATAGTCCTCAATTTCCTCGACAAGTGGCCAACGAATCGAGAACTCTCACTTCAGAAACTTTTGACGAAATTACACATCCTCCTTTGCTTAATCGCATGTAAATGGGTTTCACATGTCAGGGCTCTGGACTGGAACGCCATCACCTTTAATCGGGTGGAGTTTCTTTCAACATTTCACAAAGAACTAAGTCATCGACTAAACAAGTGTTTTATCCAGGATTTCCTAGCAAACCTAACCTGTGCCGAGTACTATGTCTGAAGGCATATCTGGATTGCACGGCTCCTCTTCACAGGAAAGCGTGTTATTTGTTTCCCTTCGGAAACCACATTTGCCAGTCTCATCTCCCACCTTGGCCCGTTGGACAAGATGGATGCTCTCTACAGCTGGGATAGATGTCTCAAGTTTTTCACCTCATTCTGTACGTGGGGCAATGGCCTCCAAGGCTTCGACGATAGGTTGTCGTTCGGAGGATATCCTGAAGGCAGCTGATTGGTCTAATGAATCTACGTTTAGGGACTTTTACTGTCGCCCCATCGAACATTTTTCTTCACGGATTTTTGATCAGCTTTGAAATTGCATAATAGGAGCAAAATAAAATAAAATAAGATTTTACTATTTACATGATGTAAAGTCATGATTTTATTAACGACACGGAGGCGAGTATTATTCCCTCCCGCCCAGCCCGCGGAAGGTGGATACATTTATACCTTTATTTGCTCGAGAACTATGGTAAGTCGCAAATGGCATGATTGAGTTCATGACACGGTATGAAAGGAAGGGTTATTGATTAGCGGTGTAGTACATAGATTCCTGATTATATTGATTAGTGATATTCAAATAGTTTGAAGATGAGATTTTACCATATATTTCTTTTTTTTCTTACAGCCTTAATGGAAAATATGGATAGTTTCGCTGTTGCCTTCTTGGATGTTTATTTTGTTCACTTCTATGGAAGGTCGCAGACAGAAAGAGGAGGAACAAGAGATGACAGCTTCCTTTCTTATGGACACCTGTGACATGATTGGCTGCCACTGTTCATAGGCAGATTTAAAATGGAGCCTCCATGTCGTTAATAAAATCATGACTTTACGTCATGGTAATAGTAAAATCTTGGAATTCTTCACCTTCTTTTAGTGGTGGAACTGATTCTGTATGTTTATTCTCAAATATTTTGTGCATTATGCCACAAAGTGTTCCTTCATCTAGAGTACGCTGCAGAGAAGAAAGTCTAGAAAGCGCTTGAGCTCTATTATTAGGCAACTTTGGTTGTTGTTTAGAGGGACTACCAAACTATTTGACTCATCCTCGTGAAATTTAATATCCATTAATTTGAGAAATTCTTTATCTTCAATAGAGGGAGCTAGTTTGTTGTCATGCTGTGTAGTATAGAACACTGTATCTCCAATATTGTCATGACATGGAGAGTAACTATCTAGTTCAGTTTTACTAGCATAATATTAATAAAACACAGTGTTTACTATTGTTATAGAATTTTTTAATGTGTGTTTTGGGAGGATTACATATACAGTGTGGGAGCAGCTGAGCTTTAAGAATTGTATTTTAAATATTCTGTTTAATTTTGGTTTCACATTAAATATAGTGCTTTTGCACAACACTTAATTATTATTTTACTAGCATAATATGATTGTCCATACATTACAGGTCTTTCTTTCACATACTAGTGATGCAGATATGTTTCAAAATAAGATAATTGTCCATTTGTTAACACATTAGTTTTGAGGGAGGTTACTACATGTGGTCTGTGAACCATTTCCATAGAGACGTCTCCCACTATGACCCAGCCAAGATCAAGTCTCTCTATATAGGGAGGATTGTGAGGTTCACTGCATTGCTGTCGTACCTTGCGTATCTGTATAATGTCTGTGCCAAGCAAGAGCAATATTTGTGCATCCTTGTCCAGACCTAGTATATGATCATGTGTCTCATGTGGGACTAACAACGTGCAACATTAGGTGTAGGGATCTCATCCTTGTTGTTTGGTAATTGGCTGCATACTATAAGCGTAGGTAAGGGTAACCATAAATTATTAGCAACAGATGCTACTATGATGTCTCTAGCTCTTCTTCTTCTGACTCCACTTGATCCAAGAATGTACCAAGAGTATGGGGTGTAGCATTTCCTTTATGTTGAACATATTGAAGAATTCTGTTCCAGCCAATTGCCAATTGCTTTGGTCATCTAATATGGCATACATCCATATTGCTTTTTCATACTGTTCCTTGGGATATACATTGACGAGACATATTTTGGAACAAGGTTTTTTACTCAGACCCTCACCACAGATTTTAGTGCATCTGGATGCAACCAGTATTTTGGTTGGTGACTCATTTGAACTCTCCCCAACACGCTTTGCAACAGGGGAGGCATTTTCTGTACTTTGAGAGTTTGATGACTCTGAGTGGAGAGCAAACAAATGTTTGGGGCTGTCACATTCTAAACACGTAATAGTGGCCTTTACAATTTTTTGAAAAATGATCGGTAGAAGCAAAGCAACTGTAGCAAATTCCATATTTTTTGAAGAAGCTGCATGCATTCTTGCAAAGGTCTTTCTTTAAAGCACCCACACTTCTTGTGCAGTGGACATTGCTGAATTACATTCTTTAGGTTTCCACCTTGTGTTCACTGATTGGGAGGTGTGACAAACACAGATTTCCTTAAATTCTTGAATTTTGAAGCATCTCTGTCAGGCCCTGAGCAAGTAGTTGGTGACATGCTTGACTCACTGCTTGGGTCATTCCTTGTCCTTGCTATGTCTTGAATGTACTTGCTGAAAAAAAGAGAAGGGAGGAAATGATACCTGCTTGTATCTTGATCCCATGGCTGCCCATTTATCTTGAAGAGCATAGGGTATCTTTACAATAATCAGATCTATGCCATGTGCGGTGTCAAAGTAGCTTAGTTCTGGTAGGGATGGATCTGCCTTAGATATTTCCAATATAAGATCACTTAATTCTTCTAACCTGCGTTTATCTTTGAGTGTGGACTTGGGAAATGTTTGTATTTTTTGCAGCAGAGCATTCTACATAGCTTCTGGGCTACCATAGGTCTGATCCAGATGATCACACTCCAATGTGAGACCTAAGTATTTTGAACAATTCTAAAGATTCAGCATAAAACCACCTTACTAGCAGATCTTATTAGCAGGAAAATGTGTGGTCCTGAAAGTAGCTTTCCTAGTCGTGTAGTTCTTAGGAAGATCATCAACTTTTGTAAAATATGAATTGGTGAGTTGGCAGTGTGTCATGTACCTTGCTAAGTCAGACATCTCTGGCTTCTCAGTCTTTACTGTAGAAAGAGTTTGTGGGTCGTTATACAAGGACACAATATTTGGGTAAAGTGAATTACTTATAGTGAATTGTTTTAAATATGTGTTCATGTCTAACCCAGTTGGCGCGTGTGTTTTGGCTGGTAGTGATGGAAATAATTGTGACTGCACCTGGCATCTTGTGGCTAATTGTTTACTTACAGAAGGTCCTGAGGTTTGTATATTGATACCAGTATTGATTGTCCTTGTCCTTAGTGCATCCGTACTTGCTAGAGTGTTTAGACCAATCTTCACAGTCACCTTGACCTCTGTGTTTCAGAGCATTGTTGTCCTCATCATCCTCAGAAGAGTTTTAATGTGTACTCCTCTGGCCGACGACATAATCATAAGTCCGTCTAACTGGATTTTCTGAAGCCACTTAAATGATAGGGTGTTCTAGTGTTTCTTCTATGCAGGCGGATTCCAACACCTTTAACCTTGTCATGGAGACAGCTGCTTCTCTTTTTCTATGCAGTGTTTCCAAATCTGATTTCTTTTTTTTCTTTTTCTTTTTGCAGCTTCCATTCTCAGTGCTGCTTCCTTCCTACTAAAAGATGCTCTCACCAATGCAGCTTCTATATGTGATAGAACTCCTTGCCTTTCAGGTTACTTTCTTTGAACTGGGTTTCAAATTACACAGTGACTTCAACAATAGTTTTAGAAAGGAAAAAATGATATTTGCATGAGAGCCTTTCATAATTTTCATAACTTAAGTCTGTCCATAGCTTTGTTTACTTGTTCTCTATCCTTAAGAAGTTATTTGGCAAAGGACAAATATTTTTTTTGCCTTCTCCTACCGTTCATCTAGTGATCCCTGTAACTCAGCTTTCTCCGTTTCATATCCTTCTTTGACTTTTCTGTAGGTTTAATTGTACGATGAGGCCTTTTGTGTTGCTTTGCTTCCTACAGCATTGCAAATTCTGTGTCAGACATTTTGAATAGTTACATTTCCTCACAGGAGATCCTGGCAGTGATACAGCTAGGCTGAACATAGCAAATAAGTGATTCAACTTCTCTGTTGAAGAGAATTACTAGTCACAGAGTGTCTGTGAGTAGTAGGAGTTTTGCTGACAGTACGATAATTTGAAGCAGTTTGTTAGCTTGACAATAGTTAACAGTAGCTTGTAAGAATTCCTGTATTACATTATTTTTACCATTCTGACTTACTGAGTTACTGTGATAAGCAACTTTCTGGAGAGATAGTACTCACAAAATAATTTGGTCAGATAGTTTTGCTCAATCAAACACTCCAACCCCCAAACAATCCAAGGCTCAGATGTGGTGAGTCTTTCCATGACCTTTATTGACAGGACGAATGAATAGACCCCAGATACTGAACTTGGTAAGTCAGGTAAAAAGAATATGCTGTTCCAGAACTGACAGAAAAGTCTCTCACACACAGAATTACTCCAAAATGGAGACAGGAAGCCAAAATGGAGACATGGGTGGGATACAGCATATACCCATAAAATACAAAACTGTAGGGGAGCACAGCAGAGTAAGGAAGATGCCATTAATATAAGCAACTAAACATGACATTAATTATTATTGAAACCATTTTCACATTGCCCCAAAGTGGTCTGGCCTGTGGTTTAATTTGTAAGCCAAGGAAATACCCAACTGGAACTTGAGGTAATTTTCAAACCACGGTTTTTGTGTATATGGGTTAATACAATGTCAGTAAGTCCAGTCAAAAAAATGTTCACAGGCACTCTGTCTATGCGTTTTAAAAAGAAGACATAAAAATTTGAATTTGGAAAACATCGAAAGAGTTCAAACATTGCCATTTTCTATCATTTGGGCATCGGAGGTTAAGATTCCCAACTTCAGTGGAGGATATTTATTATGGTGTTAGGAAAAGTGATGGTTAAATTCCATTATTTTTCTATCATATTTTTTAGTGTTATAAAAAGTGATGGCTTTCGTCATAGTGAATTCCCACAGTTTTTGCAAAAACGTCCATTTTTAGAAATTTAGAGTGGCAGAAGAAAAGGGAAGTGAATTTTTTTTGTTGGAAAAAATTGTCGGAAATATTGACACATCTGTTGTGAATTTTTTTTTTTTAGAAACATCAGAAATTATGGTAAAGGCACAACAGAAGAAACAGACAGAAAATAAATCTGACAGATTTCCTAAATCACACCAAATATTAGCTGGAAAATGGAAAAAAAATGTTGGTGACATTTTGATAAATCTCCCCCACAGCACCTGCATTTCTCCCAGTGTGCCTCACTACAGAACCATGTACCCCGTGTAATTTAAATAGTTAATTGCAACACTAGAATTAAATGATACATGTAGAAAAATAAGGAGCCACGTACAGAAATAATTATTGACTAGTAAATGTATTTGTTGCATTCGTGTGTGCTAACAAGGAAACTGACAGATCCCCTTCAAAAAGACTAGTTCATAAACAAGGGGTGGCTGAAAGAATTCCCCCACTCTACAACCATGTCATCCTAAAAAAAACTGTCAGATTTAGATACAGTCTTTGTTGTAACATGGGTCTGGCTCACATCCCATTAACTTGTTTTTATCAGAGACCCTGATCTATTAACATGTGCACAGCATGGTGTCATAAAACGTCAACTTAGAAAATATGTTGACAGGATATTTTTTCTCAACACTGACATGTCAAAGAGACCTTTCAATGTGTTTTGAGCATCTAAATGAAATGCAGCTCTAGATAAGCGTAGGAGCACAGCCGCCATTCTCCCCCAGGCCCTGTTGGTGGCAGTAAGGGAAGGTAATGACAGGTTTCCCCCTTTGCAGTAGAGCAAACTTAAGATAAGACCTAGTAAAGATAACATGGCTTTCAGTGGATTGTATCAGTTTTCTTTATCTTTAACTCTTTCTGAAACACACAACAGCACTGTCAAAAAATGTGAGAGCACTCAGCATTGTAACATCTATTCTTCCTTTTCTGTTGTCTGTTTTATAGTGTACTACATTCCACCTATTTAATAACAACCTTAAGTCCCCGCATAGAACATTTTTTCGTTAAACAATGTTGACGCAAGCTGCATATAGACCCTGCAATCTCTCCATTTTTTTACTCTGAGACGTTGTGTCTTAAAGGACCGTTCTAAACACCATAAAAACTACATGCCACTGTAGTGGCTATGGTGGCAGCATCCATTTTCTTGGTGATCTCTCCAGTTCTTTGTCGAATCAGTTGCCAATATCATGACATATACCTATATCACCCAAGCTCCCATGGCCCAGTCCCTTGATCGCAATATTGATCTTGCACAAATTTCACGTTTGTTTAGACAGCATTTATTGGCTGAGCATTTCAGCTGATACGTAATGTATACTTTAGCAACGGCCAGGTGCTTGGGACACCCCTGTTTGCATCAAACCATTCAAAACAGGACTAAGAAGGTGCTAGGGGCATGCTGGCACAATAACCACTACCTCGAGCTATAATGTTATGGTGCTCAAATTGCCTTTTATACCTTTTTTGACAGCAATTCGATTGATATTGATACCATTACCTTGCCAAGCCATTCTTTAGTTTTAAAATCTGCTCAGTGACTAATTATTCTATTAAATATAATATATAACACAATAAATTATGTTTAACCCCTTGTTAGACCCCAGTGGAAATCAGGTCTCTACCTCTACTGACCATGGCAGTGCTGTTAAAATAAACAATTAATTGGCGGCAGTTGCCTGGGGCCTGCACCGTATAATGTCTGTGTTCCAATAATTAGGGAAACACTGATATAGTAAGAACTACTGCTCTAAAACTTTAAAGAGTGTGTGATTATAATTTTTTTTTCTATTTTTCCAAAGACTGTTAAAGCTGTTTTATTTGTTTTTACTTTATTCATTACACCTTCACTGAAAATATGCCATATCCATTTAAAACAGAGGAGTCCCAAGCATGCACACCTGCTGTTGGTGGTTTATATGTCCCAGAATCCTCTGCTAGTCTTTGACCCTCAGACTTGCAAAGCATTTTGGGAATAGTAGCCTAACAACTGGAAAGCAAAACTTGGATGCAATTGATCAAACATATTTGTTGATTATTCTTGCACTGCTAGAAAGCTGAAGATGCTTGTGATGTTTCCTAATGAAAAGAGAGAACAAATGTTATTTTTAATAACAAAGGACTGCTATGTTTTCAATTCAGCTATACCAACCCAAAATTTTAAATTCGCTTTGCATTTTGTTTGCTTCACTTTGAATTCCAAAGATGAATGCAGGTTAATAAATTATGGCAAATTAAGATGGAGCGGTACCATAAATCTACAGACTCGATTAGTTCTATTTGTAATCCAGCAATTAATGGAATATTCTATGGATCTGGGATGTGCATATGGATGGGCATTGTGTGCACTGACAGCGGGCTGCTGACAGACAACCAATGGTGGGATACTGGCTGCCCCTGTGGCGTTCAAGGATCAGGTTTCAGGGATAACTTTGGAGTGGGATTACAGGTAAATTTGCAGTTTCTTTTCTTTGGGGTGGGTGGGGAACAAGCCACTAAGG